AAACATCTGTGTTTGCGTGTTTAAGACTCCTTAACTTTCTAAACTTTTTCGCTATTCTAAATGTTTTGCATAATGACTCTGTGCCACTTGATGCAGGAAAAGAAAATAATTCCTTGCCATGGTATAATATCTTGTACCGAATATCTAATTTAATATAAATAATGACCTATGTATGTATCCTAATGTACTATTCCATGAAAGCAGTTAACATTTTCCAGTATGCACTTATGGCTGAATCTCAAATGGCAGTTTATTGGGAATATACTGCACTACCTCCTATGTAGTGAGCCTATATCGTGAATAGAAAGCTAATTGAGATTTCAGTGTGTTGAAGGCTGAAATTGAAAAAAAAAAAAAACCTGCTAAATATCAGTTATAAAAAAAATTATGTTGGTAAATAAATAATAAAAAATAAGGGACAAATTAAAAATTGTTCATGATCAACTTGTGCTTTTCTTTTCTTAAAAAAGAGACTTTAGTGATTTTAGTGTAGTGCTACTGTTAATGTTCATTCTGTCTGTGGTGGTAAAAATTATAGACTCATTATTATTTAAATACTAAATCTTTTACATGATTAAAATTCCCATGCAACTTTTAAAGAGATTTAAGGACATTCATCCATTTTTTTTTTTTAAATCTCTCTTACTTTGTGGCTTTAACTTTGTATGACTTTGGTGCTAACTGAATATGTACAATCAAGTGACAGATGCACATATTGTTGTCACCTGAAATGCATCAGCTGACAGTCAGATCAGGATTAACAGGTAGCAGGGACAAGAGGGACATCTCTCTGAGACTTGAGAACATTTTGCTCATTTGCCTGACGCTTGTATTTAAAGCAGCTTCCAGTTGAGACAGGATACAAGTGAGCAGTTGTGGGTTAAATGTCATGCTCAAGGACCCAGCCATGGTCCGCTCAATCAGTAGCCCAAAGCCTTAACCACTTAGCCACCACTTCCCAGAAAGGGGTCGTGTTTAGCGCTGTTCAATTTCATGCCTTAACAATCCACTGAGTTCAACACTTTTACTACTCAGCTAAAGGCAAGCCATACTTAAAGGCTCTACTTAAAATCTATTCATTTCACTATTTATGAATTAATAAATTCACCTTCTGATACATTTGACTAACCCGAAATGGTGTTTATGTGATGAGTAGCTCCAGATCCACCCGGCTGGCAGTCTAAATAGAAGGCATTAATTCTACTCTTTCGTTATTAACTGATTGCGCAGACCGAAATTGATAATTCGATGAATGCAAGATGAATGGCGTAGTCCGAGACCCGGCGTGAACCATGCTGGCTCTCAGCAGTGCGCGAGGGAAGTGAGATGGAGTGGCTCATCTCGCTCAGGGAAAAATGTTAAAGGGAGAGCATGCTCTCATCCACCTCTTCACTCTCTCAGCCATAGCCGCAGGCTCATGTGTGAGTGAGGATCTGTCTGAGCAAGCCTGAGTGACAGAAAGGAGCTTCAGCAGAGGCCATGAAAACACACAGCTCACATGCCTGATGTTAAACTGAGCGGTTAAATGAAAAAAATGAATAGTAGTGATTGTGCGATTCTCAGTCCTGGGCACTGAGAAACAGGAGCACAACATCTTTTCCAAAGAGTAATACTGCTCCGTTTTACTACTCCAGGCCTCACAGCATTTAGACAACTTATCTTGCCTACATTCTTAGCATACTTTCTCCTAGCAGATTTTCTAAAAACCGATAGCGTTTACTGGACGACCGGTGGGATGCAGTAGGATGCATCATTGGTAAAATATTAGACTTTTTTTTTTTTATCCACGTTTATTTTTCAATGCCACACACATTACGTCAGCTTTGAATACAAAACCCAGCATCCTTTTCAACCCTCACAATCCTTTCCCCTGTTATTAAGTCCTCTGTGCAACAATAACCTGTTTCTTGGATGTTCCACGACGATAAATGTAACAATAAACAGATAAAAATTTCAATGTGTCGTTCTTTAATGAATAAGAAATATAACCTGGTAAATTGCTGCGGTATAAGAGGAATAAAAGTCTTCATGATGTACTGTTATAGGAACGTAATCAACTTTGTGGTGTCAACCACATCACTGATTATTTTCCTAAAACAGCACATCCCAAAGTTTTTTTTTTTTATTCCTTCCTTGTTCTACTTTTAATCACTCACTGCCATTTTTTATTGCCAGAATATTTTATAATGAATTTCTATACAGGATGAACAAAATCTGCATCCTATCATGTTATTTAGATGTAAGCAGTTATTTTCCAACATGCATTACAGACTGAATCTTAAATGCCATTTTATTGGACATTAAGGCTAATGCACTAACACCCCACCACCACCACCACCACCACCAATCTAGTGCGAGTACATAGTGAATAAAAAGCCATTTGGGATTCAATCTGTGTGTTGAAAGCTTAAATTGCTACCTATAAGTGATAAGGAAACATTACCATGGGTAAACATAAAAACAAACAAAAATCAATCAAAAAGAAGGATGTGCATTGTAAGTAAAATATTAGTTTTTTTTTTTTTTTATCCATGATTAGTTTTCAGTGCCACACACACACACATCACATCGGTTTTGAACACAAAACCCAGCAGCCTTTTCAACACTCACAATCCTTTTCCCTGTCACTCGCTCCCTTGCGCCAGTGCCAAAACACCCACACAGCCAAGAGCGGAATTCAATAAAGCCTGCGAGGGACAGAATAAGACGCTGCTTCGTCTCGGTTGCTAAGCAAACTGGAATGGATCAGCCCGATGGACAAAGTCTCTCTTCCAAAACAACAATTTCCCACCCGGGATCAGGGGACGGGATTTGGGGACGCTGCAGGGCCTTAAAAAAAACACAGGACTTCCCAAAGTTGTGACATTTAATTATAGGTCTGTGTAAATCGCTGGGAGTGAGTGTGAGAGTGTAAGATAACGTGAAAGATATTTTATCCTGCAGGATAATGCAAGTGTGTGTGTGTGTGTGTGTGTGTGTGTGTCCTCTGTTTGTTCCAAATAGTTACATCTTTGTCCTTGCAATCCTGGCAAAACTCAATTAGCCCAACAAAGCTCCTCAAGCCTCGGGTCAGCTGATCAATGGAGCTGATTGATCCACTGATGGATTGGATTTTGTTCTCCTCACAAAGCCATGTCATTTTGCACACAGGATGACGCAAATCAATTATCCAATAGCTACTCTTTTGTTACTCACATTATGTCAGTCAACCAAGTTAATCTGTAGTTCTGGAGGAAAAAAAATCCATTGCAATTATCAATCAGCCTTATGTCTAACATTAAACGTTAAAATCTCACGTTTAAAATGCAACATGCTGCGTGATATGAGCACAGTATCAGTCTGTGATTAAATAGCTGGACATGTATTTGCTGATTCTTAAAACTCTATTTTTGTCCTCAAAGTTATCAAGAGGCTACTGTAGAAATTGCAAAACTGGTCAGAGTCGTGGTGAATCTGGAGTCTATCCCGGGACACTGGGCTCAAGGTCAGAGAATTCACCAAGGATGGGACGCCTGTACATCACAAACAAACACACACACACTTTCACTCCTAGGGGCAATTTAGCCTAGTCAGTCCACCTACCTGCATGTTTTTGCGAGTTGGGAGGAAACCGTAGAACCCAGAGGACACCCATGTAAGCATGGATAGAACCTGCAAAACTCCACAGTGACAGTGTGAGCTCAGGAACCAGGGAGTGATTTCATTTGCTGGATCACGTGAAGGCAGTGATTTATAATAATCACATCATAACACTGCTTTAAAGCTGTCTTCATGGTGCAGCCTTCTGCAGTATCAGTAATATCGCGATAACGATCAGTACTGCTGCTAACAAAACTTCATGCTGCACTAAAGCCTGGAGTGCGTGCTGGAGCGCGAGACGGTTATACATCCTGAACTTGAGCTAGATTATAGAAGAGATCACAGCAGAGGCACGCGCTCGTGCTCGCAAACCGGAAACGGGCAATGTGACCCACAGGGGTTGTCAGTTGTTGCCAGTGTGAATGGCATTAGGAGCCGCTGATTGTCAACACAGACTAAAGCAAATGACTTAACAGGAGTCCAGAGCGTGGCAAAGTCCGTTTCCGCAACTAAAACAGCACAAAAATTAAGCCGACAGCGAGTCACTAACCTTCATGATGCCGCAAGGTGCGTTCCCGGCTCCTTGGCTCCTCTCCGCCGAGCTGTCGCGGCTCCGGTGTCCGCCGTTACTGTGCACCGCCTCGGCTCCGCGCGCTCCGGGTCCTCCGGTGAGGACAGCAGCAGTGGCCGGGTTGAGGAACGCGCGCGTGCCCGCAGAAGCAGCAGCAGCATCGCTCTCACGCGGCGCAGCGGAGGGAAAGTCTCGCGCGGGTCTCGCCGTGTCCGTAGCCTCCGGCTCGGCCATGGTGGTCCGCCCTCAGCTACACACACCAACACCGACACACACACCGCGCATTGTGCACAAGGTGGTGGTGGTGGTGATGGATGGGGGGGCGAGCTTTCGCGTGCAGCCTTTCGGGAAGCCTGTGCGGAAAAACAAACTCCCTCTGGAACCGAAAACCGCCTCCGCGCGTGACGGAGATCTTATACATCCATGAAGGCGATGTGTGTAAACTGCCTGAAACTCTTCTGCTGCTGCTGCTCTCTCTCTCTCTCTCTCTCTCTCTCTCTCCCTCTATCTCTCTGCCCCTCTCTCTCTCTCGTGAACAGATGAACACACACACACAAACACACACAAATACACACGCAGATGGCGCTCGCGCCGCGATTAGGCGTCTCTGTGGCAGCACGCGCCCATACAGCAGTTTATTACAGCCGCAGTTTCCGTGTTTCCGGTAGATCAGAGCTGCTACACGGAATCATCCATCTCCAACTAAAGGAACATTCTGTTCCTACTTATCCTACATATTATCAACATTATAGCCTATTGCATTGTGTTTTGTTTAATTTACAATAAGTTTACAACAAATTATATATATAAATATATTTTTCCCCTCCGAAAATACTTACGGTAATACTGTGGCATGGTGGTTTAGTGGTTATCACTGTTGCATCGCACCTCCAGAGTTGGGGGTTCGAATCTCTCCTCCCCATGCCTTGGGGGTTCCCTCTGGGTGCTCTAGTTTCCTCCCCCGGTCCAAAGACATGTGTTGTAAGCTGATTGGCTCTTCCACATTGTCTGTAGTGTGTGTGAATGTGTGTTTGTGCTCTGTGATGGGTTGGCACCTTGTCCAGGATGTCCCCCACCATGTGCCCTGAGTCTCCTAGGATAGGCTCCAGGCTGTGTGGGATAAGCAGTACAGAGAATGGATGGAATTAGAGTAATACACTTTTAAACACTGAAATAAATGTTATTTACGTGCCACTGTACCAATGTTCAGGAAGCTTCTTTGCAGTTGTAACATGGCAAGCTTTGTAGCTAGCTAAGTACACTGAAACAGTGATGTTTTCAATTAACAGAGCAGCTACTTACACAAACTAAACATGTACATGCTTTTTACAGGGCATCCCATAACAGAGATTTTCTTTCACAAAGCAGCCTTAGTAAGATTCAGTTAACATTACTTAACTGTAAAAAACAAAAACAAAAAAAACATACAGAGAGTGCTCGCTCCACTACTATTGATTCCGATGGCTTCTGGAAATATCTAATAACAGTGATGGACATATGTTAATCCATATAACACTGAATTAAATCGCTGTGTTTAGGTTTTTTGCTGCAATATGAATGATAAAGCTGGTCCTCATTGCTTTTCATCTCATATTGACTGATGCTAGCTTGCTAGCATCTCTGAGGCGTGCTGTCATGTCTTATAAAGTTTCATATTTGGCATCCACATCAGATCTGTTAACAAATGTCTTAAGGTGGATTATTCTGGACGTACTGTGGAATCAGGTGTAACAGGACCATCAGCAGTCGAAAAATGCACAGAATGGTATGAAGTAGTGAGGCTGGGGCTGAATTCTTCTAGCCCAGACTGTAGATTCGTGCAGTTTGTCAGTGACAGCCGTGTCAGGTGATTCCACAGACTGTAATGCCTCCTAAATTTGATCTCCATCTGGGCTGATATTTTTCAGCCCACTTCACTGACACATCCATAACAATCAGCAGTGATTGAGAAGATACATGTGAAATGCCATCATGTGTGTCATGAACGTGAATTACGCACATGATGAGGTGGATCATTTACTCTATCATCCTTTTTTTCCTCTTTGGAGGAGAAAATAAAAGAAGATTGATTGAGCACACATTGTCCAATCAAAGTACAAACTACACAAAAGGGCAAATGATAGAAGTTGTTTTGTACAAAAGGGCCACAACTTTTCTCTTTACCATGTTTGGTATACAGAGGAAACACGGCATGAACCCAGTAGAGCACTTGAAACATTTTTTTTTAAAAAAAGAAAGAAAGAAATCATGAATGCGGTTACCAACCTGTCTTTACACTTTTAGTTAGACTCAGAATTAGAAGCAGGGCCTGATTTGGCAATAGATATAAAGGAAAAAACACAAATCGATGACCGGCTAATGAATAGTGAGAGAAGGAGCTTACTGTTTGAAGGTTATGAAGTATTTAATGGCTTGATAACAGCCAGAGGTAATAAAGCAAATGGTGCTGCAATGTGAAGAGAATGATGGTAAGAAAGTAACTGATAAATTAAATGGGTTTTTATTTGATTTCCACTGTGCCATTGGTAGCAGCAGTACATCAATACATGCCGAGTTGTAGCCTGGAATTGTAAGTACTGCATACGTCCTTTATTTTTATGATGTCTTTTTTCAGCAGTATTCAAGCCAACAGATGGAACTGCAGATCATGTACGTGGGCTCCATGACTCTAAACAGAAAAGCACACGCAACAGTTTTATTCCAGTCACGGAAGTATGTGCTGAAATGCTAAAATCTCACTTAACTGAAAGGGCAACAACAAAAATAATGATGACAACAAATTTCAAGACAAGCCTTCCTTAAAAATTATGTTACATCATATTTTATATGACCTTTTATGCAGTTAGATTTTGTTTTTTGTTTTTTTTTTTTTTGGGGGGGGGGGGGGGGATGAAAAAGTTAAAGAATTTGTAATAAATAAATAAATAAATAAATAAATAAACAAACAAAAAATAATTAATCAATTAGATAATTATATAGAAAAATTTAAATAAAAAACATATATATATATATATATATATATGTGTGTGTGTGTGTGTATTTCTTATATAGATAGACAGACAGACAGACAGACAGATAGATAGATAGATAGATAGATAGAATAGTAAAAACTATATGATCTGAACTATATGATATATGAAAGATGTTCTATACTAATATGTCAGGAGAGAGTGGAGTAACTGGACGAGAATGTTTATAAAGCTGTAATCTAATCGAAATCTAATCACACACTCACCTAGAATAATATTATAGAATAGTAATATATTAGTGCTATTTTCATAAACGAGCACAATTAGATTAGGTTTGTGCATAAAAAAATAGCCTACACTATTATATATTATTATCATCAAAATCACTTCTACCACACAGTCTTCAAAACCTTCAGAAAGATGGACTTTTTTTTAAATCTATATAACATATCACCTTTTAGTCCATTCTCGTAGATCAGACAGTATCGGAAACCACTGAACAATTCAACAAAATGGTTTGCAACGTGTGTGTGTGTGTGTGTGTGTGTGTGTGTGTGTGTGTGTGTGTGTGTGTGTGAGATGATTTTAGCAAGCAGTTTGCCCAGTATTTAGCTTTAGTCTTCACTCAATGCTTAACAATATTAGCCTTGTAGCTCCAGTACAAAAGTAAAGGAACAAACCTCAGACAACTAACAGCTCTTTGCTGATTAAATACATTAATTCATAAATCCCAACACTATTTGGGTATACAATTAAAAAATAAATTAGTGATTTTAAACATTTTATTGTGTTTTCCAGCTCTAATATAAACTCATTATGATCTCACAGGGGATTTGGTAATAAGCTGAATCAGGTGTATCTGGAGCTGGTTAAATATTAAAATGTGGTGTTGATGTGAACACCAGGACCAGCACCAGAACCATGGAGCAGTGATGTGCTGCATCGTGACCATGTGGCAGTGGAGTTAAAGTAGTGGAAAATGTCCAATGATTAGAAGAATACACTGCAACAATGTATAATTAATATGTCATGAGATTATTCAAAAATAAATATAAGATTATTTAAGATTACACAAAAATACTATTGTACAAATTTGAAAAGCTTGAAAATGTCTTATTCTTTTGTATTTGCATATATTTTGCTTAATATATTTTGCTTAAGGCTCTGGGTTACTCGTCAGAAAGTCAAGCTGCCACTGTTGGGCCCTTGAGCAAGGCCCTTAACCCTCTCTGCTCCAGGGGTGCTGTATCATGGCTGAGCCTGTGCCCTGAGCCCAGTTTCCTAAAAAGCGGAGATATGTGAAGAAAAGAATTTCACTGTGATGTAATGTACATGTGACAAAGGCTTTTTCTTAACACAAAGATTTATTTCTGGAAAAGCAAAACTAGATAGATAGATAGATAGATAGATAGATAGATAGATAGATAGATAGATAGATAGATCAATCGATCGACACCAAACTCCAAGCATGAAATTAGTAAAATGACTAGAAATAGGCTTAAATAATCTTTGTTCCTAAACATTTGTTCTCATATCTCATAATGAGAATAATTTTTCCCTTTATTCATTTTTATAAGATGTGCTGGATTTGAGTTAAGTCTAAGAGACGACATTTCCCCAGACAGTTAATGTGGTGTTTTGAAAAGAGAAGAAATAAGCGCCATCTTGTGTCCAAAATCAAAATCTCTTCTTTAAAGAAACTGCTGAATCAAAGTGATCACCTTTATTTATACATCACTTTTAAGCACAGCAAAATTTCTGCATAGTGAAAAGTGATAATTAAAAAGACTCAAATAAGAAATAAGAAATGACAAGAATCAGACAAGAAAAAGAAAAGGAAATACTAATGATCTTAAAGTTCTATTTGTATTATACATTTGGGTTAAGACCCCCCCCCAGACACACACACACACACACACAGACACACACACACACACACAGTTATACATTCACATTCTGAATAAAATCGACATGCAGACAGAAATCCAGATACACAACGCACACACACGCAGCCAGTTAAAGGAGAGAGATAGAACAAGTGAAACCTTATCCAGTCCATTTCTATCCTGCAGAGCAGCCAAATCACATTAGGCCGTGTTGGTATGAGAGGAGTCATGTGTCCTCCTGCATGAGTAACCATTACTGCATGAATCATCATGGCCAGGCTGCTCTGAATAAGAGTCAATCTGACCAGACAAGAGCAACAGAACTCAGACCAGGCTCATTAACAACAGCACAGAGCAATCATACAGAGTCTAACAGCAGACAGGACTAATCAATCTAACAAAGCAATTTCAGTGCAGGGAAATCAACCACTGAGTAGAGTCATTAGTGGCGATTAGTCATTAGTCACTGAGATCAAACTGGTCGTGCAGGTCGTGCGTGTGAAGGTGAATTAGGACATGTGTTAGTAACAACATGTATTAGGGCATGTATGTGTATCCAGGAGGAGCTGTCCCGATGATTTAAAATGAAGAATAGCTCAAGGTCACCAAAATGTGTTTGCACGGTGGTGAGGTGATTCCACAAAAATGGACCATAGGTGTGGATTTGGTGTTGGGCAAGGGGACATTTTTGAAGGACGCTGCATTCACAGTAGTCGCACATGTCACTTGTCTCTTGTGGGTGTGTAGCGTCCATCCCGGGTTTGTAGCCCTGAGGAGAAAGAGTTGTGTCCAAAATGTAGCCTACAGCACATGATTTACTGCAGTAGATGATTTATTTTCCTCTAAAATGTAATTATTAATTCTAACTTTAAAAGTGAAAAAAGTGTGAAAACTGGTTGTTTGGTGTAAGTTACACTCCAGGCCTTATATTAGCCTTGTAAGCGATTACCAGCGCAAGCTGAAGGTACACAGGGACTTGTATGGTAGACGCACCACATTTATAGCTGCTGTAACATAAGCGATAACAGGATCTGATTTGTTTCACAGCTGTTCCACAACATTAAATGTAGCT